ATTTTGTTTTTTTCTAATATAAATGTCAAACTCGTCGTTCAAGTCGAATTTGTTTTAATAGCTCTATAGAAAGACCAAAGCAAGCTTATTATAGATGTAATAAAACCATTATGATCTGTAGACTAGCCGCTCCGCCACCTCCACGTAAACGTTGTGAGAAATAACATGTTAAAAGTTTGAAATCGATTAAAAAAAACATTTTTGTAAATTTGTATTTTTAAAATTGTTTTAAATATAATAGTGTACCTTAAAAAAATTCAGGAATGTAATATTTTGGGTGTATGTCCTCTATTTGAGCCGTAATCGTGTGAAATGTGTGCTCATTTGACTAAAAAATACAGAACCTTACCGGCAGTGTGCGCGTCTATGATTTCAAAAATACATTTTTATTTTTGTTTACATTTTTTTTAAATATACACCTTCGCAAGACTGCTTCTTGCTAGAATGTTAAGTTTGTATGAAGAGGAATGATGCATCGCTGGCTAAGCTAGGACGCGAACTCAAAGACGCACTAGAGCTTGCCTTGTGAGAGGCGGAGGCGAGTTGATAAAAAAAAAAAGAAAAAAAAAAAAAAGAAACATTTAGATGCCACGGCTTTTTTTTTAAACAAAATTCAGATCTGGACAAAAAAAAAAATGCATTCCCCATTTATTTATCAGACGCGCCCAGCGAAGAGCCATATGGCTCGAGAAAGCGCATGTGAAGTCACGTGCCGTCATCTTGCTCTTCGATTTTGCTGAAAACTGCAGAGTCGTAATCCAGCGCGCGGTACAAGGACATCACTGGAAGAGCAAGATGGCTTCCATCTTTGCCTTCGTGGCTACGACCGAACAGAGAACGTTAAGCTTCGGCGTAGTGAGCAATGACATTGTCCATGACTCGTCCCATGCTCTCTTTGCGCTCAACGTTGTCGAAGGGCGGCAGGAGGAAGTATTGCCTATTTTCACGCAACTCGTTTATATTTCAGACGGTGCTACTTCAAAAACTGACACCACGTGTACAAATTCAAGAAAAACAGTGTCGTCACCAAGTGGATACTCTCCGCATCAGGGCACGGGAAAAGCTCGTGGGATGAAGTGGGCGGCGTGCTCAAGCACCAGGCATCCATGTATAACTTGACAACTGCAGAATTGTTCTCCACAACGAATGCGCAAAGATTCGTTGAGACCCTCAGACCGAAAGTCAAATAGATCGTTAGCTCACGCGTTTCTGGGAGCTCAAGAAAAAAAGAGTGGGAGAAGGTAAACCCACCAAGGGGCATCCGATCCTCACATGTGTGGAAGAAGACACTGGAAGAAGGCGCCTTGACGTTGCCCTAGAAAAGATTCGCGAAAGCAGAGAGTAGCTGCATACACGTGTCCATGCACGCACCCCTTTGTGTCCTGAAATTGAGAACTAGTAAAAAAGTTCCCTGCCTTCGGAAAATGCGCCATCGATGTGTTTTCTTTTTTTTTTTTTTTTTGTGTGTTTTTACTGATTCTGTGCACGCGTTTCTACATTACTGAGGTGCAAGAACTGCGCAGTCAGCTGTCGGGCGATCTGCAAGATGTGGGAACAAAACGCGGTGCATATTTTCAGAAGATTGATGCACATGGTTTGAATTGTGTAAGAATTTATCATTTATTTGCAACAGGCTGTATAATGAGTATCTAT